GACTTACATTATATTTTTAGGGCCACAAACAAAAGGAATTGTCTAATTAAAACACATATAACCAATTATAGTTTGAAAAACGTTTTAATAATCATTTATTTGATAATATTATGATTAATATTATGCTATGACAACGACAATATTTTTTGAGAATTTGACAATAATATGACAATGGCCGTTGGAAACTATGGAAACTACAAAAAAAAGTCTGATTTGACGCCATCTGGCAATAACTAGTAGCAACTTCTTAACCTAAAAATTAATTGCACTACCATCTAGTGGCTAGGGCTGGAACTATTTTATTTGACATTTCCGTGGAAACGGTGGAACCGCTATTTGCTATTTCACTTTCCCGCCCCATTATCGTACTCTTATGCTTAGGCGTAAAAGTGCCTTACTTTTATGCTTAGGCGTTAAAATGATTTTTTCATATTGTCAATCACGTCGCAAAATTTAACACTTTTGTGACGTTTGAAAAATAGTAAGCATCCAAAATTTAAATATCAATGCCAATTTAATCAAAATTGAAATCAGCTGACAAATACCACACTTCAACAAACCGTATACCTATTAGTCTAAAAACATCCTGATTGCAACTTTTATAGAAAGAAAAATTGAAAAGAACGAAGCGTTTCGAGCTTATCAACTATTAAAACAAAAGTAGGTAAAAAAAGCCAGGAAATCAAATGCTCTTTGTTTAACAAAACAGGGGATGAAAAATGAGAGAATATCGGGCGGTGTATAATTTTTTCTGAGTAAATATGGAATTTTACTAAAAGCACCGGAGCTCATGTTGTTCTTTCCCGGATCCTAAACAAATAAATACTATAGGCTTACTTCCCATATTTGTTTGTTTTGTATGATCGAAATAACGTTTTTGTCCTTCGCATCGTTATTAAAAACAAATTAGATTGTAATTGTTTTTACATTTGACCATTGTTATAATGTTGAAATTGTAAAGAAAATTTAGTTTACCTTTTCAATTTTTTTTTTACTTTTTATTGGTAAAAATGGAAGATATTTACAAAGCATGTCAAATAATAATCCAAGAAAATAGGTAGGCCTTCAAATACGAAGTTTTTGTAAAAACTTGAATTTTTGATATGACTTACTGTGACAGAATTTTGATTTGAGCAAAAAAAGTATAGAGACCATTTTTATGTAAAATTTGACGCTCTACGTTTATTTGAACTTTTTTTTCTAGTTCTGACCGTTTATCCGAAATTTCGAAAAAATAATTTTATTTATTTATTTCGCTCCTTCTCGGGGGTGAATTAAAAAAAAATCTTTCACAATTCGTTTTTAGATCTTTCAAGGTAACTTATATCAAAAATTCAAGTTTTTACCAAAACTTTGTATTTGAAGGCTTATTTTCTCAAATTTACCTTTATATTAATCATAGAAACTAAAAATACAATAATATACAGGGTTTTCCATTACAAAATACAACTTTAATAAATATTTCTATTTATTTGGGACACACTGTACCTTTTGAAAATAATTTTAAATTATAGTTCTACTAGTCCTTTAATAACTCCAACTTGTATAATTTTGAATAATCTAATCATTTAGCCACAACACTTAGCGTCAAATAGCATACATAACCCTGTAAGTGTGTATTTAAAATGCTATACAGGTGGTTTCAGTTAATCCAGAAATGCCAAATATTTTATAAAAAAAAAGTGAACCTAGATATATCCTAACTCTAAAACTCTCAAATTTATATCTAAACTAGAGCCTAAAAAACTCTTAATAGAGAGGTTATGTGAAAAATAATTGTTTAAGAATTATTGTTAATTTTTTCTAGAATTATACTAGGTACCTTTAACTCAAATGCGAAAACATTTTAGATACTAATAGCGTATGATCGAAAAAAATAATTGATGGTGATTTTAGTTTTAGTCAATCTCTAGACGGCATTTACTGAAAATGTACATAAAACTTGTAAAAAACGAACAGTATTATACAGGGTGAGTTTCCTATGATTTTCTCTATGAGTATCTCGGAAACCGGAAACTACTGGAGATAGTGAGTCGGTTAAATGGGGAAAGAATTGCAGTTTTGTGGGGTCATAAATATGCACCTTTCAGATTTTTGAAAGAGTTTACGGCTTACTAGATATTACGAAAAACTAATTTTGGCTATTTGAAAGTGTCCCTAATTCCATTATAATCTATTTTAGACAAAAAGTTTTCATATAAAATTTGTGGATAATCACATCCCTTATGAGTTTGTATTCTCCGATTTTTTCTAAAGCCTGTCATTTTTGACGTATGACACAAACATGTTTTTTCAAGTGGAAACCATAGTTGGCCATGACCTTATAAAAAGCGCCATTTTTTAAGCTTTTCAGCGATATAAGCTATAATATGTTTTTAGCTAGTTGGAGTTATAGCCAATTCTTATCTTTCTTGATTAATTTCAAGCCATGGAAACAAGTTGAAAGTGTCACATCTAAACTGTGTAAATTAAAATAAGCAAAAATTGTAAATACGAATTGTTCAAATGAAGAAAAGCATGTATAAGATTATTGGTTCAACTTTTCTTGGCCATACAGTTTCGAGGATACGTTGACCGGTGAACGTTACTTACGTTTTTTAGAGAACGGTTTTCAAGACATGCTAGAAAAGTCAAATTTAGATACCTACTCGCGCATTAATAGAGGTTGGTTTCAACATGACTTTCAAAATGGCCAACATTGGCCAGTCATTGCCAACTATGGCTTCTATTTAAAAAAAAAACATATGTTTGTGTCATATGTCAAAAATGACAGGCTTTAGAGAAAATCGGACAATCGGAAATCGGAAAAAAACAAACCTAACCCAATCTAGAATTTTTATCTGAATACTTTTTGTCTAAAATAAATTATAATGGAATTAGGGACAATTTTTAATATTGCCAAAATTTGTTTTTTTTTTCGAAATATCTAGTAAGACATGAACTTTTCAAAAATCTGAAGAGTGCATATTTATGACCCCACAAAACTGCAGTTCTTTCCCCATTTAACCGACTCTCTATCTCCTGTAGTTTCCGAGATACCCATAAAGAATATCGTAGGAAACTCACCCTGTAGAAAGATTGAAAAATGATAGAATGTTTGCAGACACACAAATCAATTCCCAAATAATTATTCTCGAATTTTAAACTACCTTCTTAGGGTCAACTGGTAGTTAGCGCCATTAAAAATGAAGAGACGTCAGTGCCATGTAATGACGTCTAGAGGTTGACCTTGCCAAAATTATCATCGATTGTCATTCTCCAGCAATCTTTGACGCCGTTTTTTTTCGATCGTATGGTAGTTATAAACTTAATTCAAAATTACATGATTGTTGTTCAATAACGAAATTTTGATAAACAGATCAGTTTATTGTGTATATCGATATTTTTTTCTTAAATTAATATAATTTCTAATTTCAATTTCTTTTTTTTTTCATGTTTTATTTTCGCTCACTTTGGACCCCGCTTGCTTTCGCTTGTCGCTGTATTTTTTGTGTTTGTTATTCTGTCCGTTGCCATCGACACAGACCTGAAGGCCATTCTCCTCTCGATCAATCCAAGTGGCCTTTGAAACCGGGTGTACTGGTGCACGTTAGCAAAATGAATAACGTGAGCATCAGTCAACTGAATTCAATGGCAGGTAGTCACAAAGTGACTTCTGTCAAATCGAATGCGTATTTGAAGTATCGCAGGAGAAGGAGCAAAGTCTACGCTAGGTTGAAACAGTTTAAGGAAGCATTGGGGATTGGAAGCGATAGAACGCCTCTAGGGTTAAAGGCTGGAGCTAGTGGAGGTAATGTATGGGCAGAGGAGATCGAATAATACGAAGAAAATACTAATGATATGTAATTGATATGTGGATTTAGTTTCTGAAGTTTAAATATTGCACCATATCCGTCAAATCTGTCAAAATTTGAATCTACTCACTCTCAAATCATAAAAATATCTAGAAAAGTCTTTGCCTGAGATGTAGGCAACCTTAATAGTATTTTGAGACATAAATTATTCATTGATATCATGATACACATAAAATAAGAGAATAACTTGCTTTAAAAAGTGACCAATGTTCAATATTAATTTAGTCTCACCCTATACCGGGTACGTCTCAAACGTGGGTCGTCCCTATAATTTATTTTATTTTTTCAGATAAAAAATCCAGATTTGATTTGTTAGTATATGACATAAATTAGGATTGATTGACGTATTCAATTTTTTTCGGTCACTTCCTGGTTCACCGAAAATTACTACAACTTTTGATTTTTAAATGGCACCCTCGGTATTTTTTTACTTTATTCGATAGAAAATGACACTCTGAAGCCAATGACATATAATTTGTCAACTTTTAACGTATTTGCTCAGAAACAAATTCTAGGATGCCATTTAAAAATCAAATGTTGTAGTCATTTCCGGTGAACCAGGAAGTGACCAAAAATAATTATTAAATACGTCAAACAATCCTAATTTATGTTATATATTAACATATTAAATCTCGTTTTTTTATCTGAAAAAATAAAAAAGTTATAGGGGTGAGCCACTTTTGAGACGCACCCGGTATAACTTTTCGGGTCTTTAAAGTACAATGGAAACTGACTGCATCTCATGCTCTAGAGAAATCAGACTCTACAGCTGTTTATTAAAATTTTAAATTTATTCTACATTTTGAAAATGTTAAATATGTGAAAAACCTTACATTTCAAAAACCTGTATCTAATTCTATATTATAAAGAATATAGAAGTAGATTAAAGAATCGCAAGAATTGAAGTAGAGACCTAAACTATTTTATAAAATTTATATTTTTATTAATAAATCAACCAGAAATAATACTATTTAACAATGGTGGTATAAAATTTCATATTAAGCGATCTCGAACAATTTACTCCTGAAACTGAAAATATTGGGTATTGACAATAGAAGGTAACATTTACAAATTTCTTGTCAATTTTTATCTGTGAGTTACTGGAATGCATATTTTTATTGTGATTTTTTGCATGTTTTCTTATAGTTGTGACTTTTAAAAAAATCGAGTCTTCACCACCAATGTTAACCAGAATGGATCAGGTGAACCCGCGAAAAAGGAAAAAGCCTGGCGATGGTGAGTATTTTTTATATCTTAGTTTTAATATTTTTAAACATAATTACATAATAAGATTATAAAAAATTCAATTTTCTATTTATTTAAAATTTATATAATTTTAATTTAGTTTAATATAAAGTGACCCAAACATAAAATATGTTACACGTAGATGCTACTACAAAAAGGTTAACAACCAAAATTATAAATTCTTGAAAATTACGAAACAAAATATATTTTTTAATAATAACTTTAATGATTTACCTTATTTTTATTCTAATTAGTCTATCCCTTAAAGTATAAGTTTGATTTAAAAAATTGTAAATATATCCGCAATATCTCATGAAAAAATGAGTTTAAACTATGAAACTGGTTAATTTTCAATTCTAGCAGTCAAACAAAAGGAGTTTATGAACTTTAAAAGACAAACATGACATATAAGAATAATAATATACTATAAATTAAATTAATTTATAAACAACTGTTCTTATAGATGATTTTATTAATGAATATCTCAAAATATGCTGCTCCAACTACAATGATTCCCAAAGATTTTATTCCATTATTATAAATTTTAGTATTTTACTTATTATACAAGGTTAATCGGAGAATTGTTTTTACCTTATCTTTAAAACACCCTGTGTAATAATTTCGTGAGTACGTTTTCCTAAAACGTTATTTTTCGGTCAGAACCATGTCTCCTGAATTGTTTTTTGGCTCATGCCAATACAGGGTTGTTCACCACATACGACACGTAGTATTGTAGCTAAACGACTAGATTTTTACAAATTGTAAGTTTTGGGTTCGTTGAAGGACTATTAGAGCTACAATTTAAAAATATTTTTACAAGATACAGAGTGTCCCAAATAAATAAAAAATATTAAAGTTGTATTATTTTAAATGGAACACCCTATATATTATTACATTTTTAGTTTCTACGATTAAAAGAAAGGTAAATTTGATTATTATATATTAGTATTGTTTATTACACTTAAACCTTACCGTTTTTGAAATATTTTCAATTTTGTGAAATTGCAGTATACATTTTAAGGCTTCATTTTTCCGAGGGTATCAAAGTTTTTAATACTAAATATTTACTGAAGTTTATTTATTGATCAGTTATTGTGTTGCAATAATAAAAACTTTACTCCCTTATACAGAGTGATTAACTTTCCATTTAAGAAAATACAACTTTGATATTTTTTATTTATTCACAAAATTGAAAATATTTCAAAAACGGTAAGGTTTAAGTATAATAAACCTTAATCAAATTTACCTTTATTTTAATCGTAGAAACTAAAAATGTAATAATATATAGGGTGTTCCTTTTAAAAAAATACAACTTTGATATTTTTTATTTATTTGGGACACTCTGTATCTTGTAAAAATATTTTTAAATTGTAGCTCTAATAGTCCTTCAACGAACCCAAAACTTACAATTTGTAAAAATCTAATCGTTTAGCTACAATACTCCGTGTCGTATGTGGTGAACAACCCTGTATATGCCTTGATTATTTTTTAAGAGCAAAATGAACTTGCCACAAACATTTTGCAATTTCTTCAATTATCGTTAGTTTTTGATGTTATTCTTCATAATGATGAGGTGGCTTTGGTGACTGTTGTTGTGTACGATTGAAGATGGCCGAAATTATGAATATTCGGTTGGTCGGTCTTGAAGAAGAATGGGAAATCATAATAAATATATTTGCATCCTCATTAACAGTATGAACCGACATTTGCAGACAGTTATAGCAGCCGGGTAGATAATACAAAGAATTAGAGTCTTTTTTACAAGTTTTTTTGTGCACTTATATTTAGTAACTTTTGATTTTTGAGTTTTTAGGTTCTATATTTTAATTAAAACAAATTAAATACTTTTGACGTTTCGCCAATTTACAATTGAAATAATTCAAATAAATATTTCTGAAGATGCTAAAAATAAATTGGCAAAACGTCAAAAGTAACTAATTTGTTTTAATTAACAGATAGAACCTAAAAACCCAAAAACCAAAAGTTAGTAAATGTTACAAAAAAGGTTCAAAAATCATCATCAACTATTTTTATGTACACTTAGTTATTACAGTTATTTTTTTTAATATCCTTAGTTCAGTTAGTGTAACTAATATTTATTAAAACCAAGCCTGTATCGTTACTTTATAACAGTTTTTTTATATTTTAATATAGAGTTCTAAAGCGGCCATACATTATCAAACAAATTGCGCAACACAGGCTGTTGCGCAACAAATTGCCAATGTATAGCCCTGCTTGATGCGTTGCGTAATTGTTTGATAAGTTTCAAGAATGTTTGAATTCTTTTGTGCAACGGTTGACGTAATTTTTTGCGCTTCGTTGTGCAATATTTTAGTTCTTTCATCCAAATTCTTTGTTTTCTTTTTCGTTTTCTGGTAACATCGACATTATCTAGGGCACATACGATAATAGTTTACGTAATGGTAATTGAGGACATGATTGTTTCTCGAACAATGCACAACTTTTAAAAAAAGTTTGATCAAAATTCTACCAAGTGTATGGGTGATGCAGTTGTGCAACGCATCGTTGCGCATCACTTTGTTGCGAAATTTATTTGATAATGTATGGGCCGCTGATGTAGTTGTGCAACGCAACGTTGCGCATCGCATTGTTGCGCAATTTGTTTGATAATGTATCGGCCGCTTAATCAGTGTCGATATGGCATTACGACAATAGTCACCAAAGCCACCTCGTGATATTAAAAAATTAATGATAGTGTTGAAAAAATTGGAAATTGTTGATGGTAAGTTCATTTCGCTCTTAAAAATTAACCAAGGTATGTGTTGACATGAATCAAAAAACAAAATGCTCAGGAGACATGGTTCTGATCGACAAGTAATCTTTTAGGAAAAGTTACTCACGAAATTATTGCACAGGGTGTTTTAAAGTTAGGGTAAAAAGCACCCATTCAATTAACCCTGTATAATAAGCCAAATGCTGAAGTTTATTAAAAACTGAGTTTATTGATTAAAGTTGATAAATTTTTATATACAGTATGCTATAAAATTCCTAAAAACACTCTAAACTTGACGAAAAAATTTTCCGTTCCGTTTTTTTTGCATCTGAGTGTATATCAATGTATATTTTATGTAATATCAATATTTCGATATAAAATTATATAAGAGTTTCTTGCCTTGAACTGCTAATATAGAAATTAATTCCACGCTGTGTTCGAAATAATGTGGATCAACCTGCTCTCACTAACGGTTTCGGGGCCCTACCCCATCATTAGGTGAGCTTGGGTCGTTTCCACAATATGTCGAGCACAGCGCAGAGTATATAAACACGACTTGTCGTAAAGTAGCGGTAAGATATTAAGTCCCGCATCGCGAGATAGCGGCCTGCATGCAATGGTAGTACTTTCGTACCACCGAGGCACAACTATCGATAGTAAATAAAGGCTTTTTTCGGCTAGCCCAAATTATATAATGGAAAATAAATTTCTTGCAGTTTTTAGGTATATAATAAAATTATATAAGAGTTTCTTGCCTTTAACTGCTAATATAGAAATTAATTCCACGCTGTGTTCGACATAATGTGGATCAACCTGCTCTCACTACCGGTTTCGGGGCCCTACCCCATCAACAGGTGAGCTTGGGTCGTTTCCACAATATGTCGAGCACAGCGCAGAGTATATAAACACGACTTGTCGTAAAGTAGCGGTAAGATATTAAGTCCCGTATCGCGAGAAAGCCTTTATTTACTATCGATAGTTGTGCGTCGGTAGTACGAAAGTACTACCATTCCACGCAGGCCGCTATATCGCGATGCGGGACTTAATATCTTACCGCTACTTTACGACAAGTCGTGTTTATATACTCTGCGCTGTGCTCGACATATTGTGGAAACGACCCAAGCTCACCTGTTGATGGGGTAGGGCCCCGAAACCGGTAGTGAGAGCAGGTTGATCCACATTATGTCGAACACAACGTGGAATTAATTTCTATATTAGCAGTTCAAGGCAAGAAACTCTTATATAATTTTATTATATACCTAAAAACTGCAAGAAATTTATTTTCCATTATATAATTTGGGCTAGCCGAAAAAAGTCTTTGTTTCGATATATCGATACTACTGGTCATCCCTAGTCTAGATATTCAGCATGCCAAAAGTTTTTCGCCGGCCCTCTTATTTTCGAATGCAAATCCGTTCGTCGTATATTGCGAAACATCGCATATACGTCGAAAGCCGAAACTACTGGAAATGTTGGTTTATTAAATTGCATAAATACAAGATGTAGGCGCTCGACGCTTCATTCGTAAAGGTAAACCGCCACCGCGGCGTTTTGTTTTTGCCAGACGAATTTAGAGGAAAATGTCTTGTTTTGTCGGTTATGTTGTTTGTTCTAACTGGTTTCTAGTCAAATACACTCTCGTGTAATAACAAACGCTAAAGAAGTAATTTAGCTGGTTTACTTAATTAAGGAAAGTAACATACAGCGAAAAATAATAAATTATACAGGGTAGTCCGAACTGTATTCCGGAAACTTCGGCAGCGTATTCTGCAGATACAAATATGTCAAAAAGTTCATACAAATGTATGCCCCAAAATGCTTACCCATACAGCACATCAAATCACATTTACGATGTGTTTACATTATTTGATGTAGACAGAGGGTGACACAATTCCCCCGATATAAATATGCTACGTTTACACATTGTAGTTCAACACGTATGCACAAAGGTTAAACGTCCGCCTCACAATGTAGCCACAGTATAGCATTTACGTATACACAAAGTAAGGGATACACAGTGTGCCGTAGGATACACAGTGCTTGTGTATTACGTTTAAACTCTGTTTACACATTGCAGTTGTGACTACCGCGTGTATACGTATATACATCTTGTGCTAGATAAAACTACTTATTCTTATGAACGAATTTAGGAGTGCTTGTGTATTACGTTTAAACTCTGTTTACACATTGCAGTTGTGACTACCGCGTGTATACGTATATACATCTTGTGCTAGATAAAACTACTTATTCTTATGAA